TGTACCGATGCATGTGTGAAGAACACAGTGATTTTAAGCCAACACGGCAGGAAATCACGTTAATAAGTCTGGACGTCTGTCACTCCACACAAAGTTACGTGTTATTTTGTTCCATAATTAAGATAACTTCAGTTCATTTTTATAAAAATATTAATGTTAAAATGGAAAATAGAATAATGCATAATACTTGTTATACAACCAAATATTGTAGAACTCACTTTACACAAATTTAACTGATATTCTATTCTATAATTAAGAGAACTTGAGTCCTATTCTATAATATTATTAACGTCAAAGCACAACTTTTTTTTGTAATATTTTCTTTAAACAATTCAAGATTGTTTCTTACAAAAACACAATTTATCAATTGGATGGACGCTTGAATAACAACTTACTATAACCGTGAAATACATATATAAATATATATAATAATTAAATAAAACTATTAAAAAAAAAGAAAACACTTATTCTAGACGTTAGTTTATATTTTAATTTTGTTTATAAAAATTTTGAATAATCGAAACAACAATTTCTGAACAAACATTTGAACATATTTGAACAATATTCTTATTAGCAAACTTTCACATAATCAATTGATCACATAATTACATCAGTTCCTGAATAAGAGTACGAGCTTTCCTTATCGCAAGTATACCAAAAGCAAATAGTAAACCAGCAGTTAACAATCCACGATAAGGCTCTTCTTTTAATTTACTCATAAATACACATACTTCATTCTTACAAACATTTGAATTATCTTCATTTTCCATTTTACTTTTATAGATAAAGTCAACCACTGAAAATATAGATATAGATTAAGCAAAGCATACAATAATTGAATATATATATATATATCGAATAACGAAAGGAATATTTCGGGATCTATGAAGGGAGCTGATTCTTTTGCTTGACATCGTCTTGACAGACTTAATCAATAGTTATAAACATAGAATACATAGAAACATGCTTACGTTGACTCTAAAGGCCCAAGACAGTGCCAAACAGTTTATTCGAGCAAAAATGACGTTTCTCAGTCATCTGAATCTGAATTTAATCACTGTTTCTGTGAAATACAGAATAAAATTTCTTATTATCTTATCAACTCGTGCCCTGTGATCGTCAGGAAATGCACAATTAAGGAACGATATAAAAGGAATGTTATTATTAATATACTACTATATATCCTTATTGGGAACTGAACGCGTTTTTCATAAATAACTAAGTATTCTGATCATTTTGAAATAGATTTATATTTCAATTATTACAAGGTCAATAAGTAGAAGAGTAAAAAGCGGCTACAATACCTCAGCTAAATTCTCTATTTTATGTTATATTTCAGTCGTATTAATTAACTGACATTTTTAACTTCGGATCTTATTCAGTCATATTATATAAGTCACAATTAAAAACTATTATATTAAATTTTAATTTTGTTAATCTTTATAGCAGACAATAGCGTCAACTATAGATGCTTGGGTTCCCTTATTAGTCGCACACATGTACTAACAGCTGCTCATTGCGTTAATAATTTGGTGAGGGACTTGAAATTGTATGTAAAGACAAGGTGTAGCCTTACCTCTCATGTTTCACTTATTTTTTTGTTGTATTTTAAGATCTTATGTGCGTATCGGAGAGGAGCAACTACCAGCGGAATGCCGTCTAAATGCTAACAATTGTAATTCGCCTAACATACTTCAAATAGAACAAGTTATAATACATCCCAAATATGATGAACCTAAATATGCAAATGATATAGCAATACTTAAAGTACGCATACCCGCTAATATGCCAGGTATTTTAATTAATATAACTTTTGGTATTTTTAAATGTTTTTATTAACCCTAAAACTTTTATAGTTGAGTTTGGCACAATCTGCTTACCTTTGGATAATACTTTGTCGGTCGATAACGACCAGATTATAATAGGAACTACTGGTATAGTTGTTGGATGGAGCAGCAATAACGAAGATGGTATATTATTTAACTAAACATAATTTTAAAATAAAACTAATAGTTTTTCCAGAAAAAAATGTATAATTTACATACCATAATTTTAAATTATTATTCTTGTATCATTTATTTTAAAATCAAAATTTCAAAACATACTTTTCAATATAGGTATTACCAATGAAGGTAATTCCACTCTAAAACAATTACGTTTACCGATTATTAATACAACTGAATGTGCTATAAACTACGCAAAATATACGGAAAATTTTGAGAATCCCATCGTCATAACACCTGCACAAATTTGTGCTCAAGGAGAACCACATAATGATGTCTGCAGAGGTTATTATCAAATAATGTGTTATAATATATATAATATTTTTTTAGGAGAACTTACAGTAGTTTAACTGAAATTCTTTTATTACAGGTGATAGTGGTGGTCCCTTTATGATGGAAATAAATAGGCGTCTCACAATAATGGGGATTGTAGCATTTGGTCCTAGAATATGCGGGATAACTAATTTCCCCGGTGTTTACACCCGTGTGAGTTCCTACATCAGTTGGATTATTCAGCAAATGGCGTAGGTACTTGAAACTTGGAAGTCCTTGAGCAAATAAGGAGACGCTTAATCTCTATTTGTTTAAACATTTGTAATGCAGAATAAAAAAAATTTATTCCAACGCTTATGAAAACGTTTATTTACCCACAATAGAAAATAATAACGTTTAACTACACGTATTGTTCGAAGTGGCGTAGCATTCAATTTTTTCATTGTAATGTTAAAACCTTTTTTATTATTAATAAATATTTAGTTACAATTCGGTTATTTCAGTATTGCAACAAAAAATTTATTATTTATTATAAAATAAATTTTATGAAACAAACATTAACTAAACTGATAATTTGAGGATATATTTATTCATTAAAAATAATTCATAGTCTAAGAATGGCTTGGCGAGGAACTTGCTAGCGTTGCACTTTTTTAATCTAAAATCTGAATTAATATAATGACAACAATTGAAACTTAATATATCTGATAATCAGTATTGGAGTACACATACTTTTCATCTTAGTGGGATGATGCTTCCGATTTGTACTAATTTTAACATATTTTTTCTGATGAGTTATATATATCCCATTGAAAATCTATATACATATAAAAATTTAGTAGACGCCTTGACTGCGAAATCGATTCGCATTATATTCATGCCATACAATCTCTATATTAAGACGCAGAATACAGCCTGTAACATTTTTACTTAGAGTCCATATTTAGGGTGGTCTCTGTACAAAAAGAAAATATTATTATCCAATTTTTTCTTAAGGCGCTGAATTTCTTTGCATAGTATATAAACAGAATATAAAATACAACATTTTTATATAGAAAATTCAATTTTTACCTGTAGTGTTGACCTGGATGATATTTATACTACGTAATCGCCATGTAGAGGTGCAGAACCTTACCTATAATATTTTATTTAGGTTCAAGACTAATAATTTCTACCATACAAAAAAGCTTAAAAGTGATGTTTATCAAACTTTATATATCCAAAAGACTCATAGATGTTTCAGGTGATGTTTCTCATTATTAAAGTGAGAGCTGTCATATCAAATTGGAGGCGGATAAGTTAATTATAAATCAAATGACAGTTTTATAATGTCGATGATGTTGTGAACTTTAGATTCATTGAATACTCGTGGGTCTGGTGCTTTATCGCACAAATTGTCGCTTATAGGTGTTGGTTGATCCACGTAAACTATATAAATTGGTTGTCAAAAGACAGATATCAAATGTTATTAAAGCAACAATTCTCAATGGATATATATTGATATCTCTCTATTGGGATATTTTAATACTTTTAATACTAGACTATAACTATTTAATACATTTTTTTGCTTAGTGTCTATTTGTATCTATTCAAAAAATATAAAAATAAAGAATTTTTGTATGTAGATATAGATACAAAGTATAGGAAAGAAAAAATATCCGAATAAAATTAAAGGTACAGCATTATGTACCTAAATACAGTATCTAGATGCTTGTAACTAGATAATTTAAGTATTATCTGCTACCTTTAAGAAACTTTTATCTAACAACAGTTAAACTTTAATAAACTTTCATTAGATTTTTAAACTAGTCAGTGGTTTTATTTCTATTTTCATGCATATTGAAACCCAAGAAACTTTTTCATATATTTAGTGTAATAGTTCTTTTGTATAGAAAATAATAAAATATGAAACCGTAAAATTTTTCAGCCTTCTCAATATTAATTTTTTTTTTCGTTTGCTTATATTATGACAGTTGTGATGAAATTCATTTCATCAATCATCAATCAAAATTTAATTTCAGTAATGTCTTAAGAAGAATGTGTTGCAAAAACGATCGTGCTTGAGGCAAGGTTAAGATTTCTAATTAATTATAAGAACCAAGATGATGACAGGAATTATTATACAAATAATTTCGTTAATTTTAAATATACTGTGTGCAAATAACTTAAATAATTGTATACGACGTAGTTAGTTAAAACAAAGATGTCTTTTATACTCATACTGCTAGATCATATTACTTTAGTGACCTGGAGTCCATTAGATTAGTTGAATGTACATTTTATAAGTATTCATTCTTTCTCCTTTCCATGAAACTCGTGTTGGTGTTAAGTTGGATTAATTATAGATGCCACCTAGCGGTTCCAAAATTTTGGAGTAGGAGAACACAGTTAGGGATTTTTTCAAAAACATACAAAACGTGTTCAAATAATGTTTGCTTTAATACAATTATTTACAAAATTATATCTATTAATTTGCATTCTAAAAAGCAACAATTAGTCTGGTTTACTTCAATATATAATAAGAAGTAAACCAGGTTGATTTTTTAAACATCATAAAGTTAATATTATTCCACGTTCAAAAAGATTTTTTTACTTTACAACGGTTTTTACTACAATAAACACAAAAATAATTATTCGTTATAATATTGGTTCAGGTGTTATCTTTATAGCTTTTACATATGTAATTTACAAATTGTTTAAAAAAATGAAAATTAAACAAACCAATGACTTTATAAAACAACACTATTTTTTATTGCAAGTTTAAATCTATTCTCCAACATACAAAGACATTATACTTACTCGTGTAATTTAGCAGTGTACATTTATATTAGCACCCAATGGACAAAATCCCATGCAACCACATTAATTTTGCACGACGAGGGGAACTACACGTTCAAGACGCTTGGTCAGGATAATGCCAAAGACAAATAGTGCAGCACATTTGCAAATAGGCCATGTTAATTGGTTGTCCTTAACGTTTTTCGCTATCTCACCCACGCGATGTCCTACCTCGATTACCTTTAAACTGATATTAATAAGGTGCTCACCAACTGCTCCCTCCATGTTAAATCTTGAATTAAATAAAATCCAAAAGTAATGAAGATATTCTCAGCTAATAGCTAATAAATAATTTGATTAGTTATATTTAATATTAAAATAAAAAATTTGACATACATTTATACAAATTTATACATATAACTCCAAATTTTGCACAATGTTATATTGCATATTGTGGGAAAAGTCTAAAAGTTTTAAAAATAAATTTACAAAAGTGTATTTTTTTTTTATTATATCAAATTAAATTTTTAACACAAATAATAAAAGTAAATAATAATTTGTTTCGATGGGTATATAACTTCGTTTGACAAAAAGATCAATGATATCTTTGGAAATAACAATTTTGATATGAACTCAAAGATTTTTATTGCATAGACAATATAATATTAAAAATTGGTGCTACTATATGCTACTACTACTACTACTAATACTATATAGAACCACTACAGTACTACTGAGTGCTACTTCAGTACTACTTCAGTTCAACTATAGCACTACTTCAGTACTACTATAGTACTACTTCAGTTCAACTATAGTACTACTTCAGTACTACTATAGTACTACTTCAGTACAACTATAGCACTACTTCAGTACTGCTATAGTATTACTTCAGTACAACTATAGCACTACTTCAGTACTGCTGTAGTACTACTTCAGTACAACTATAGTACTACTTCAGTACAACTATAGCACTACTTCAGTACAGCTGTAGTACTACTTCAGTACAACTATAGTACTACTTCAGTACAACTATAGTACTACTTCAGTACTACTATAGCACTATTTCAGTACTACTATAGTACTACTTCAGTACTGCTATAGTACTACTTCAGTACTATTATAGTATTACTTCAGTACTACTATTGTACTACTTCAATACTATAGTACTATTTCAGTACTACTATAATACTACTTCAGTACAACTATAGTACTACTTCAGTACTACTTCAGCACTACTATAGAACTACTTCAGTACTATAGTAATACTCCAGTACTTCAGTATTACTTCAGTATTATCTTCAAATAATGATTGTAAAAATTTATATTTACAAATTAAATTATAAAACTGGGTTTTATTCATATTTGCAATCGGAAAGACACATTTGGATGGAAAAACCTTTGTTTAAAACAAACCGATTTGAAATCATTAATAGTTAAAAACCAATTTTACGAATAACACATTAATTAAAGAGAAAATAATGCCTTTAAGTTAATTTGTAGAATTGAGTATTAATTAATCCATTATCCATTAAATATTTTCATATATGCTCTAAGTAACCTATTTACTCTAAGTTAATTTAATTGTGCTTGTTCAGAGTTTTATCTGAATACTTTTTGAATAATTCGTTTTGATTAAAGTCTTCTGTTCACATTAAGAAAATTAACTATCTATAAATTGTTTATCTTCAAGTAAATTATAATTGATCATATTTGAATAATTTCATCAATCACACCTACTCAATGGTGATATATATGTACGCTTAAAGCATTTTCCATTTATATTTTTATAAACGAGACAATTTTTTACTGATAACTTTAAAACCTTCAATCTCAAAAGACTAGGAGAAAATTATTTGTTTTTGATGTTTACACTAATAAAATATGCAGTTCTCATCCGATTGCGATATGCGCTACACTCTCTCTCTCTCTATATATCTCTCTCTCAACGATCTCCCCATATTCAAATTCTCGAAAGCTCTTCTTAGTACCAAAAATTTAATTCACAGCTTAGTTGACATCTGACGCTTAGCTACAACTCGTCGTTTAAGGTTCTATAGACTCGTCAAGCGCGTGAAACAGAATTTTCACTTTTTATTCTTAATTTATTGAACTCGATTAACATAAGCAAATTAATTAAGCAAATGAAAATAAATAGTATCTGTCCTCAAAATCAATAAATTTTTATATAGTGTAAAATATATAGTGCCGTGCAAATTTCACAGTTATAATAATATTTATATGTAAATAAATTTATATCAACAATATTTTTCACTATCTCTTTAATAAAAAACAAAAAACAAAATTAATAAATAAGAAAAAAAAAGAATAAAAGTATAACGATTAAACAGCACGGAACAAAAATCATGAAAAAACCGGTGTTAATAAATATCATCTTCTTCTCCTGCTTCTTTGGGGGAATTTTAGTCGAAAGGTCTGCAGCACGTAAGTTTCATGAGATCGCCTTGAACATTAATAGTTCAAAAAGAACGCGTTGTTCAAAATGATGTCTTCTTCTTATATTACTGTTTTTCTGGCTTAGCAAAACACAAAAAGTGACGAAATAATATTAATTATTTAATTAAATCAACATATCAAATCAATAATTGGGAAGCTACTGTAGATTTGATATAATATAAAAATATTTTTATAAGAATCTAGTCAAGATTGATAGTATCTCTTAAATGTATTATAAATAATCTAACTTTCATTGACTGGGTAGATAATACAGAAGCATATATATTTATACAGAGTATAAAAACAGGATATATATAGAGTATACAGAGTATATTAAACTTTTTTTCATGTAAACATACATAATTATTTTTAAAAGTTTTGTTAATTAATATATTAAACACAGGCATGTTAAAGGAATTCAGAGGTTCATTGTTAATGTAATCAAAAATACAACAATACCATATAATAACCTAATTTTTTTAAGTTCTTATTTTTCAAGTCATAGTTTAGAGAAATATTATAAAGTTTGACTTTTATTATATCGCCTCTTTAGTATTTAATAAGATCACCAGTGACGGCATAATTGATTATTCGAATTGTAATGTATACCATACATACGATGATTTTTGTTAGAAAGTCCAATAACTCGCCATAGACACTTTTTCCAAATTTTTCTTTAACTTCTGGTTACTTCTCGTCTCTAGAATTTGAAAAAAAATACAAAATATTTTTAAAAGCAAATATTTTTCACAAACACAAATAGAACAGAGCATATAGAAAGTGTGTTCATGGGATTTTTGTAAAAAATTAATAAATCTACTAATATAGGGTTTTTCCACTACCTCTCTAATAACTGCTATTGGTCCATAAATTTATGTGTTTAGGTCATTAATGAAATTATTTTGTTAGAAGATATTAGTACTGATCCTTGTAAACCATGTTGGAAATTTTTAGATCCGCACAACATTGTAGGTCGAGAAATACTGCTTTATTAGATTGAATACTCTTTCTATTTCTTTCCTTCCTTATTATCTTCTTAAATGGCTCGTAATATAAAGTAGATAACAAGGAAATGCAATGTTTGCTGGAATGTTTTTATATACATATATTGTTATGTTATATATGTTTTAAAAAATGATAACAAGATGGGGCAAGTAAAATTAAAATAGCAATATTATTATATAAAGCATCTGAAAGAGAAGTTATTGAAGGATGTTTATTGAAGACTCTGAATAATTTGATGTCGCCTTAATATTTATTATATATTGTAGCAGTTTTTTAATGCAATTAACCAACTTTTGCATGTTATAATTGCTTGTATCTTTTTTTTTTCTCACTCTTCCAATATTCTACTTGCAAGAGTCATCTGGTTTTTTTTAGTTGCCTTTGAGTCATGTTTTTTTTTTGACAAATTAACTCACAAAATCTTGTTTGGAGTTTAAGTGGCGTAATTAATCAATTGGTTATAAACAAGCCATATCTTTATCATAATAACATTAAGTTTTTAACAAGCTTGTAGCCTGTAAATGACTTGGGTGTCTTTCAAATCATTTCAATAATTTACAACATTTTATTTCCTTTTAAACAGTCATAAGGGATTAATACAAACATATAGTCCTTCGAATCCCTTCTCTGACTATGGACTTAGTTTTGGTATTGTCAATAATATTTAAAATACTGTTATTTGGTTTCTTATAAATCCTCATTCATTAATCATAATATTTTCTGAGCAAGTAAAGCCTTCAAATTCTTTAATGTATTGCACCTTTAAGTGTTTCGATCCATATTCCATTCACTTCTCTGTCCATACCCAAGTGTCACTTTTCCCAGTTAACAGGAACAAAGCCTATAGATTTATCCATGATACAATAACAATAATTGCTCTATCACCTGTTAACATATATCCCATAACTACTGTAAAAGTAAAATTGCACATTGTGGTGGTTCATCAGATATATTATCAATAAGCAATTGGAAAGAACATTACAGCAGATTCAACAGCAATAACTGCCTCATGAGTCACTAACTACAATCGTTGTCATTGCACTTTTCGGTGTCGGTTTATTGGTTTTTCCCGAATATTTATTTTAAATTTTCTCTAATGTCATTTTTGACTTGGTGGATGCTTTAAGTATTTACACATTAAGACGTCACTGTTCCCACTGTGCAGATATTTAGCAACAGCAGATTAATACTTAAAAACAATATTTACTTCCATTTATTCAAGATATTTATAAGCAAGCAAACATAGATTATACATAGCTTATATACTGAGCTGGTGAGGAGGTTAAAATTTCTAAAGGCAAACAAGTTAAAAAAACAATTATAAAAATACAATATAGGAAATTATTAGTGTATATTTATTATTAAAATCTTGTATTTACGTTTTTGTAGATACAAAAAATTATAAAAGCAAAATTAATTAATTTTTATAATTAATAAAACCACGTATTGTTTTTTTAATTGCTACGTTATCAAGTCTTTAGATTATAATATACGAAATAACTAAACATCGTCTTTAAAATCGGTTTTCAATTTTGCATCCTGCAACAAGTCTCTCTATCAGTCCAGATTACGAGTCGATAGTTTTCAGGCGTTTTTTAGTTTTGATCTACACATAAGATCTCCTCTTCAGCTTTATTTTTGTTACTGAGTCTGTTTCACTGTAAATAGCATATACATATAATAGTTCGCGGTTGGAGTGTCCAACAAATATCTATGAAACTTTACTCTCCAACGCGGGTATAACATAAGGTCGTAATGCTATTTACTAAGCACCCAAGTTTCAAAATATTCATGTATACTAATGAAACCGTCGTCTTACACAGCAATAACTTGGGTGTTATGGTAATATTTTTGGACTTAAATAGCAGCTGATTACTGGCAGCTTATCTTATTATTATAAGATAATAATATATTCAAAATATTGTCTGTGCATAAGAGAAGCAACTAATGCGAATCTTAGCTATTATTAAATCAAAGCAGCTTGAAATATACGCAGAGATCATTCTTACAGGTCATCAATATGAATATAGATCCAACTCTTTAACAGCTGATCAAGTGTTTCTACTCAAGCTGAATATAGAAAAATGTTATGAGCTTAACGTTGATGTACCTTTAGATATACCTTTAGATATATATATTAGGTATACATTGACTAGTGATGAGGACTCTAAAGACTTCGTATTCTTTAGAAAATCGAAATACAGCAAAAACTGACGGATGCTTTCGAAATACAAAGCTGGGCTTTAACAAGGCAACACATTGTCAACGACCTTTTTAATCTCTGTTGACTCTATACTATTACATAGCTTATAAGAACTGGTAATATGTTCAGAAAAATAACTATAACCATATATACGGTATATACGGACTACATAGTTATTTTGGGATGAAGCAGAAATCATATAAGCGTAATATTTGAAGGAAAGACAAGGAAGATTGTCTTTATAATAATTTAGAGAAAAACTAAGTGTGTGAATCATGATTGGATGAAAGACGAAAAGCATAAAATATCAATGTGCCAGTTAAGCTTTCTAAGCACATGAAAATATTTTTAATTCGCGACTATTCTCATGGGACCTCAACTACACCATCTATAGAAGTGCAATTCATTCTATTTTCGTTTATAGATCCAAAGTGAGTTATATTACATGAAGGAATGAGTTTTTTTGAAGGAATGGTTTTGAATAGGAATTACTATGACAAAAAAAAAGGCTAAGAGCCTTAGATCTACATGAAGAAGAAAATGTGATATGATTCATAAAGGTACAAAGTCTTCGATAAGCAGGATTTGTCCCAATAATGGCAGAAAGTTTTCCACTTACACATTACTGTATGTAATATATTTATATGTATTATTAGAAAGTTGGCTCAACGATGTAGTGGTTGTGAAGTTACATACGAATAATGCAAATGCAAAAGTGGAAGTAAGTGACAACACATAGTATAGTATTTTAGGAAATCGTTAATCATGCAAAACCTTATGCGGCGATATAACAACTATGGTAAATGTTAAAGAATTCAGCAAGATATATAATGAAGTTAAAGCTCACATAATATTGTAAAGTCAAATATCATTATAATTAATAATAATCTATAATGTAATCTATAATCTATAATGTAATCTTCGGGATCATTTCATATATGATTCACTAAATATCAGATATCTAATTGCATTCATATCACATTACCTTTTAAGTGTGACTGGTTATTATTTTATTAAGAAAGTAGCATAAGTGGCTAATTATGAAGTAGGTATTCATACTTTTATAGATTTAGATCATTCACACAACAAATATTTAAAGTGAGATTGAATTTGATGTTATTTATATTGTCAAAGTTAATAACAGGGTTGTTTAAAAGATTGTGTAGTATATCATGGGTAATCTCGACAATTATATTACAAAGTTTGGTCAGATTAACGAAGTATTTTGTTTACTGACAGTATTATGTTTTTTATACTATAAAAAAAAAAGAATATAAAACAGATTTAATCTTACTTTAGCCTAAAGGTGACGACATTTACATCTATCCTATTAACAAAAGTCTCTAAATGTTGTGGACATTAAATTATAGATAAATGGCATATCCGGATTACCGTGGTAATTGGATTATTGAATGTTCGGATTATCGAAAGCATGCTGATTATTTAATTGGATGTTATAATTCATATAAAAGAAGTCTTATTTAAGAAGACCAGATGTTTCTTATTGGTTATAGTGTCAATGCTAACGATGATGAACCGATTTGTTTATATTATGTTCGTATTCTTAAAAAGAAAAAAATCAAAATATTATGAAGTATACTTTTTCTTCTTGAGTTAGTGCTATTACGCACTTTTACTCTATGATGGCTGATGGGCTTATCTCTACCCCACACTAGGCTTTAACTAGGCTAAGAAATCATATCATTTATTTGTCTTTTAGTTGATGACGAACCTTAAATCAGCATATCTTCCTGAGAGTCCAGAAGTGGACATAAGGATTGTTAGGGCGGGGTTAAGTATCGTATTAACTTTAGAGAATAATTTTAGTGCTCTGTCTCTGATATATTTTTTCACTTTTTCTAGAATGTTTTGTAGTAAACAAAAAATAATTTGTCACAAATATTAAATTATTTACATTATGTTAATATAATTATCTGCCAAAACAAAATATTGGTAAACCTTTTAAAAATTATATTCTGAAAAAAATTTGTTTTTAAATTTATTTCATTTATTTTGTTTTAAAATTTTTGAAACTTGAAATGATATTATTTCAAAAAAGAAATCGCAAAATTTTGCGTTGCGATAGAATCTTAGTTAATATTGCTAAACATGAGCTTAACAAAACCAGTTTAAATTCTAGTATTAAATTTTTTTGAAACAAATACTAAATAAAACAGAAAAATCAAAAAAATAAACAATAAAAATAAAATCACATTGCTATGATAGAAAGCAAAAATGCATGTTTGGTTTAAATTAATTTCAGAGAAATACGGGTAATCCCTACCATTTAGACGGAATTATTATCATAAAAATGATAACCTGTAATTTTTGTTTGCGAATATGAGTCAATTGTCGTATTAATTATTACTATATTCGCATTCGAGTCTTCAAGAGAATAATTTCCAAATTTTAAACAATAAAACAAATGAATTTATTGTAATTAAAACTAATTTTGTTTTTAATAATTATTTTAACTGATTAGACTGAGAGATACATACGTATATATAATAATCAAACCAAAAAAAAAAAAACAAAAAAAATACACTAGATTTATTTGATTTAAATTTATTTTTATAGCACATTAAAAGTCTTTGTAATTTATTTAGAGTTATATTTGTAGAATTGTGAAAATTAAAATATGTATTATTTTTTATAGTGCTCTTTCTATATATTCAGTATAGTATAAATAATAAAACATAAGCGTTTCTCTAATACATTGAGGAGAGAACTTCATACAATCAGTCGAGATACACTGTTATATATAGTATTTTTAGCAGTAAATATAATTTGGATGGAATCAATTAGACAATCAGCATGCCTCGGAATTGTTATATTAATTTTAATTCATATTTCAATATTCGTCTATCAATTTCAATTCATATACATATACATATAGATAATTTTAATTTATAAATTTAAAACAAAACAATAATCCAAATTCTAAGTAACACTTTAGACTTGTGCGAGTTAGGCTAAGTTGCGTTCTAAATGAGGGAAATTCTAAGTTGTGCCGATAATATAGTGATGTGTCGACACGTGGTGATAAATGGTTAAATGTGTGCAGTGCAAAAAACCCAAAAAATCTCCCATTTGGTTTAGCATCAACTTAGCCTAACTCGCACACGTCCTTTATACATTAATAAAAATCCCCGTGGGCTTAAAAAATTCTGTAGAAATTCTCTACATAAATATGTTTCTGATGTAATTTCAAATATTAATAATAAAACATATTACAAAAAATCATTTTAGTGCAAGATAATGTACCTAATACTTGTTATATCATGTTTCCACTGCAGCTAAAACTTTGCTATGTTATGTTAATGAAAATAAAATTTGGTCGTTTCCATTGGTATAAATTGATTTATGCATGTAAATATAACGAATATATCTTTTTTTGGTAATTTCCCTTGTGGGAAATTTATTTTCAAGGGTTGCATTCGACATTTTTTGATTTAACTTTGCTGATTTATTGATAATTAACTGATTTGTCGATAATTAGCTCATTTATATGAAAGCTTTTTTTATGGAAAATTATCCTCATTAGCGGCTATAATGAGCAAATCAACTTAAATAAAATAGAGGAGACATGGTTTTAGTCAAGAATCATTCGCAAATGAAAAGCAGACGTGTACGAAATGGTGTAGTAGCAAGGAGCAATAGAGCAACCCTAATAGCAAATCTAATCTTAATTTTATTTTAGGCCGTGTGCGAGTTCGAGTAAATTAAGGTGAAGTAAATTAAAATTTCCTAGGGATTTTTTGCACTGCACTTATGTAAATATTTATGTATTTATTTATTGCATTTATTTAATATTTTTGGTTAAAAGTTTTCAAATTAATTTTCAATGGTTATACCTAATTTTTATTTAATTTATCCTACTCGGAATTCTGGTAAATACCAACATTCACTGCCATGCCGACATAATTTACTATTTCGTTCAATATATCATCAATTTACTCGAACTCGCACACGGTATTAGTAAATCTTATGAGCACTATAAATTATTTTGCCATAGGCGTACCTTATTTTAGTATCCATGTATATAACTTAAATAATATATGTATATATACATAAATTACCATATATTTATGTTTCATATTTATATTTAATATTCAATATTTAATGAATATTGAATGAAGATTTGTTTAAAAGTATTTATTATTTCACTAAACAACAATGTTTTAAACAACTTGTTTACTATGAAAATAAACAATAAAATAATTAGAATTACAGTCCAATAACTTAATATTCATTAATTTTTTAATTATATTAAAATTTCAGAATTTTATTTTCCTAATGAAGCTGCGTCAGTGCCGAATTTTGGACGATGTATAACACCGAATCGTGAACGCGCACTATGCATAATTTTGGAGGATTGCAAGTATCTTTTCAATATTTTAACTACTTCACCATTGAGCGATGTAGATAGACGTTATTTGAGTAGCAGTCAGTGTGGCTATCAAAATGGCAAGGTTTTGGTAAGTATTTAACAAAATTCTAAATACGAACATAAGCAAATAAGTTATTCATATTAGATATGCTGTCCTGATCGGTACCAAAATGCTGTACCAGTTGCACAAACAACAGCTAGTCCTCCTGCGGGCGGTAATAACCAACTATTACCAAACCCAGGCCAATGTGGCAATGTTTTATCAAATCGTGTATATGGAGGCAATGTAACAAAAATTGACGAATTTCCTTGGATGGCGTTAATAGAATATACAAAACGTAAATATATAAAATTCAAAAATACTTATTATTATTAATTATAATATAATATATAGCTGGCGGTGCAAAGGGACATCATTGTGGTGGTTCATTAATAAATTCAAGATATGTTATCACGGCATCGCATTGTGTTAATGGTAAAGGTATTCCAATTGATTGGAAACTCACTGGTGTACGTCTTGGAGAATGGGACACAACAACAAATCCAGATTGTGAAGTAGATGTACGCGGTAAAGAAGATTGTGCACCTGAACACATTGACGTTACAGTTGAGCGTACTATTCCACATCCACAATATAATCCTAGCTCAAAAAATCAAGCAAATGATATAGCATTGTTACGTTTGAGTCGTGACATTCAATATTCATCGTTTGTGCGTCCTATTTGCCTGCCTACTAATACTAATTTACGTTCTGCTACTTTTGATGGTATTGCAATGGATGTTGCTGGTTGGGGAAAAACCGAAACTGATTCGACAAGTAGTTTAAAACTAAAAGCAACTGTTAATGGCGTACAATTAAATGAATGTAGAAATGTTTATAGTAAGCAAGGCTTTTTGTTAGAAGATAGCCAAATGTGTGCAGGTGGTCTAGAAGGGATAGATTCATGTCGCGGTGATTCGGGCGGACCACTTGTCAGCTTGGATGTTACAAATAAAGCGCGTAGTTATTATTTTTTGGCTGGTGTTGTCTCGTTTGGACCCACACCGTGTGGTTTAGCTGGTTGGCCAGGTGTATATACAAGAGTTGGAAATTACATGGACTGGATACAGAGAACAATTGTAAAATAAATTAAATTTACGATATATGTAATACTCATATGTGCCTAATATTAAAATTGATATTGATATTTCTACTGTAAATTAGACAAAATAAATTATATTATTAATAATAATTTTTATTTAAATGATTAAGTTTTATGAAATTTCTATTACTGCATCAATAAATAGTTTTTTATAATTTTTGAAATGATTTTCTTTTTTCATATCGGGTTTAATCTGATGCAACCCAGACAGAACTTGCCTAACCTATTCTCTAGCATTAAGACTCCATACTATCTCAAAGGATTCTCTTAGTTAAGTTCAAGCATTTTGTTATCAGCATCAAGTGTGATCCTTCCCGAGAAAATGTGTAGACCTTTTCATTCATTTTTTCAATATTGAGCATTTTCGAAGTTCAATATGAAAGAGAGCCATACCTAAAGTCTTTTCCATAGAGCTAGCGCCCCATTTCGCTTCTCAACTCCGTTAGTAAAATATATGAGACTTTTATTCGCACATGCTAATATGCATTATTGCTGAGAGCCGAATATCCTCTAATTTCCAATCCGGATTTCAGAAATCATTTTAACGACTATTACACTTTATCTTTCCAAAGTGATATCTGCGATGTGCTTTTTAGCTTTCAGTCTACAGTGGCGATGTGCTTGGATGTCAATAAGCTGTGGATTAAGGGATTGGTACTCAAACGCTGTCAATTTGATTCCCGAATCTTTTTTAATAACCAAACCTTATTAAGTTTGGATTGGTTGAAGTCCTACAAATTACCTTAAAAATCTCGATAATTGCATTTCCTGGTGGAAATCGCAACGGTATCGGTTAAATTATATAAATTCAGTAATTGAAAATAATTAAACAAGATGTAACATATAATGTTAATTAATATGCAATTTTTTAAGAATTTTTATATTAAAATTTTTTTTACATATTTATATTTGTACAATTCTTGTAATATAAAAGTTCACAGTTTTTCTATCGTTGGAAAATTCTACATTGATATTCAAGTACAAACTTTTGGTCCACGATTTCTGTTTTACCTTTATCCATTTTTAAAAAATTTAAAAAATAACATAAAATATCTTCTAAAAACTCTTTGCCAAATAAATGTTGAATAAAATTAATAAGTGAATAAAAAAGTATACACTTTTTGACAGAAAACGTCACTATTTACAGTTGAGGAATAGCAAAATGAATATATTAGCAAATTTTTGTGTACACTTCAATTTAATTGTCTATTGAAGAATAGACCCACATATATTTATTGACTAAATATGGTAATAAACCTTTTGCATTATGATATCTCCTTTACCCTGATTATTAGAACAAGGTTTCAGTTTCTGACTTCTACGGTCCAATGGCTGCATTTTGCAGCCTTATCTTACTAAGAGGTATTTTTGAAAAGTTGTACACTGTATTCGATGTTTTCTATCTACCGTAAAAAAATTCTTTAAGAACTGCATTATCGGTTTACAAGTATACATCGTGTATGTGCCGTTTAGTATTCTGCACATTTGTTTTTAAATTGTAGAATAAACGTCAAACACAGCTGTGGGGAACATATGCCGCAGATGTTATGAGATTTCCTATTTAATCATAAAAAATACATTTCATAAATTAAAATGCTTAAAAACTTTTGTAGTTCACAAATAAAATTGCTAAAAACTTCAATAGCCTGGGAACAACAAGTGCGGGTGTGTATTAATGTATATTGATATTTAATAAAAGTTATTAATAAACTGTTCCGTAGACCACGTTTATATTAAAACGTCGATATGAGCCTCCGCTAGCAAAGAAAAATGGCCCACCTAGGAGGTTACGTGCAAAACACTTCTTATATGACTTGGTGGAAGACACTGGTATAAAAAAGCGTCCAGATTTAGAGGTGGTTCTCAAAACATACGTTGAGGGTGTTGGCGATAAAGGTGATGTTGTAGCGGCCAGGCCAACATTTGCCTACAATAAATTGCTATTGCCTGGTCTTGCTGTGTATAAGACAGAAGAAAGTGTCAAACAATATGCAAAAACAGAAATGGAAAAAGATAAATCAACCCATAGTTCACCGTATGCGCAAAGAGTATTTAAAATTTTTATATTATTGTAATTGTTAAGTTTATATATAATATTTTTAGACTGTAAACATGTTAAATGGTTTGTTGTTAGGTGTTGTCATGAATAAGGATCAACCATGGGTTATAGAAAAATGGCATATAAAAGCTTCTTTAAGGAAAGCTGGCTTTGTATGTCCTGAGGACTGTATTACACTGCCAAAGGAACGTATCGAAGGTCCTGATATGAACAAGGAAGGTAAAATTTTTTTCTGTACTGTGGTGATAAATAATTTAGAAAAGGCAACAGTAAAATGCCGCATACACCATTGGAGTACTGATCCAAGTGAACGTTTGCCATATGTACCTGAGTTTTGGAAATTACCGTCAGAACCATTATTTGGTTCTGAGCAAGAAGCAGCTAGTAACAATGCAGAAAAAAAGGAATAATTAATTTGTTAATATAATATTTATATAATTTCCTATTTTAATAATAGGATAAAATAAATCTTTGGTTTAAATATATATTGATTTAAAAAAATCAAATAAAATGTTTTTGAAATATAGACAATATTGATTTGAGTTTTCGGATTACTATATAGTTGATATAAATTAAGGTTTTAAATGAATAATGTTAAATATTCTTTAGATAGATCACAAAAAATTTGCAATTCTTGTAAATAAATATATAATAATATGAAGGTATTCAAAAATAATGAATATGACTAGTGAACAGAGTACAGTATAAAGAAAAAATAGTAAATTGAGTTTAGTTTATTTCATATCCGAGATCCTTGTTATCTTGATGAAACTAAAGTGTAGGAGAATAATCGAGTATGTTCGCAAAGTGGCAGAGTCTACGTCTGATATTCTCAGATCAAGTGAAGCTTAACACTATTTGTTGTTGTAACCCGCTGGGACCTGCTTGTGAAGTCCTGATTTGGGGGTTGTTGAACGGCGCTTGGTCGTCTTCGACGAGTGGCTCCGGGACATAGTTCCGGCTGTTTTTGGAACTCTTACAACTATCTGAGTTCAATCGTTTATAAGGCGAACCATAGAGAACATTGAAGTACTCAGGCTACAACAATGACTTTAGGGGATTCTGAAATCCGGTTAAAACACTTAATTGATGTAAAATATTAGAGAAAAAATAATTAGGTCAAAACAACTGCCTCTTGGAATAACTAATAATAATTTCAAAATTATTTTTATTATAATTTTTGGAAAATAATGATGCGCTAATATGTGTTTAGATCTAAACGGGTGTTACTTGCCATCAATAAGCGGGATCACGTTTCTCAATTTTGCAGAAAACATTAAATAAATTATTTATCATAATATATTTGTGTGATATGCAAGGAGGAAACTGTTTTGAATACCATCCTACATAACTAGCATTGATACGCATGTGAAATATGAAAGTCTAGAATAAGATATATTCTATATCTTTGCGAAAAATTGAGGAACAAAATAAAGAATGATATTGGGATAGCCTTATTTCGTCTAAACCAGTCAAAGTAGATTATATTTAGCATCAATTCAATAATCGGGCGACATCATGAGAAACAGAAATGTCAATATATGAACACATCCAGACTGTACTATCTATATCTATTAATTACATAATATTAACAAGGATCAGAACAGCACTCTATCAGAAAATACTTGCTAAATATTTGAAAACAGCGCTTCGATAATGTTTTAAATGTATGTACTTCGCTTTTCAATCTTTTTGTGTTGCTTTTCTCAAATGAAGTGCTTCTTTGATAAACTATAATATGAGCAGTTACTGACAATGAAAAGGCCATAAGGAACAATGTCACAGAATACCATAATATACTATGATATTTACAACATATAACAGATTCATAATATTATCAGATATATACATATAAACTACATTAGCTCTATTTAATATCTTAAATTGAGTTGTTAGTTTTTGTTTTGAGATGAAAACTACGTGAAATAATTTGAAAACCATACAAATAAAACAATAATAAATAGACTACATTTATTTTTATTTATAAACTTATATGCAGAAAGAAACTTAATATTCTGATTTAAAAGACAATTTTTTTAAATATCAGAGAATTCAAAACTTTGTAATAAAAACTTTTAAATTAATCAACAATAAAAGCGAATTAAAGTTAAAAAATGCTGGAAACTTATACTATAAAAATTTGAATGTATATAAAAAAAAAGAAAAAAGGAAAAGTAATTAACTTAATTTACACCTTTAAGTTCAACTTCGAATACAAGAGTGCTGTTAGGTGGAATAGTTGGTGGATGACCACGGCTACCATACGCCATATGTGGTGGACATGTAATACGACGTTTACCTCCTACCTTCATGCCAACTACTCCAACTTCCCAACCTTTAATAACTTCTCCCTTTCCTATGTTAAATTTGAAACCTCCGCCAGATTTATTAGAATCAAATACACGATTGTCAGACTTCAAACGACCTTCATAGAGTACATTGGCGCGTTTACCACGAACTGCTTCTGCTCCTGCACCCACACGCAAATCTTGTACTTTTACTCCACCAGTTAATGCACGTTCACCACCAGTTTCCTTCTGTTTTTGCTGTGGTTGTTGTTGTTGTTTTGGTTTTGTTTTGTCCTTCTTTTCGTGTTTTGATGCTTTACCTGCAACGCCATTTTGTTGAGGCTTCTTTTCTACCTTTTTTTCTAGTTTAGGTTGTTTAGCTTTCGGTTGCTCTTCCATCTCTTCATCCTCATCATCATCTTCCTCATCTTCTTCATCCTCATCTTCTTCATCATCATCTTCGTCATCATCTTCTTCTTCACTATCATCTTCCTCGCCCAGCCCATCACTTACACCGTCTTCATCATTATCATCATCGCTTTCCTCTTCATCGCTATCAGCATCAGCTTTACCTTCAACAGGTTTTCCCTTTTTAGCAGATTTAGTAAGCTTTTCGCGCAAATCATTTATATCGAAATCGGGATCTTCATCATCATCAGTTTCCGTGTTCTGAGAATATATGGATTTGGATATTAGTATTCAATAAAATCAAAAAAAAGGTGTTTTCAGCTTACCTCAATCAAGTAACCAGCCAAGCTTACATTGCCGCTACCTAATTATAAGATCATATGTTTATTGTTGAAATTTCAAATAGTATAAACTGTTTACATACCTACGCTTTGGAAGCAGATAGTATCCCCTTCCATAAAGTTCAAATCGAGCATAACTTGCTCGCACTTCCCCTTACGCAAAGTGCATATCAAAAACTTTTGGTTTTCAGATCCAATGTAGATTTTATTCGTATCGTCTTGTGCGGACTCTATATCCAGAGCTGCTTGGGATATATGAAACGACTTGGTAGTGGTTTGGGTGTATTTTCTGTTAGGTTTTAAATTTAGACCTGCAATTCATTAAAAATGATTAATATTTTTATTAATTCGCAATATTTTGCGAAATTCATTCTGCAAAATTCTTAAGAACTAGGAAAAAAAATCATAGCACGTAGCGCATAGTTTAGTTTGATTTGAAATTATATATGCAAAACAATCTTATAGCCTAAGATTATAGAAAAAACAAATAGTATATATCTACGGTCTGCCCGTTAGACTCCTTCCAAATATTTTATGCATTTTTCAGTGCAGTGAAAGACAAATTTATTATTTTTAAAATTTCTATTGTTACTTATGCGAAAATTTTTATACAATAATTAAATTTATATATAAAATTTATATTTTAAGAACATGCGGCTAAAATTTAATATTATATATTATGGTAGTATGTTTTTGTTGTAAAATTTTTTAGATTTTTAAGTGTCCAATATTGCAAACAAACGACAAATATATATACACACGTATTAAAAACACATATTAGGTATGATTACATTAGTTTTGCTATTTACTTAATAAAACCAATATATGATGAATTTTACAATTTCTTGGAACACGTGGAAAATAATTTTTTCTAAAAATAATTTTGAAACAGGTAATGATATTATAACTCACCCCAAAACATTTTAGTGCTGCTTAAGTTAGTAATTATGTTTTGAAATTAATAAAGTTTAAACAATTTTTTAATAATATTCAACAAATTTATTATCAAAATGCCGGCACTCTCCAATAGACGCACACAACACGCGCGTTTACAAAGAAATTAACAAATGCTAATATAACATTTGACAGTTCTTTAATCTTTCAAACAGTGTTGGAAAATTCTAAAAATGTGAATTCAAATTCTTGAAATTTGAATTGAAATTGTTTATTTAGATTTTGGTGTTAATTAGATTTCAGCTCGATCCCTTTAACTTTTTACAAGTTCTGTTTATTAGTGGTAACATAAATAATTTCAACAAAGTTTGAAATTTTATTATTTATTTCAAGAATATAATTCATGGATAATTAATAATGTTTCAATAATTTAATAAGTTCTGGCTGTTAGGTGTAATATGAATAATTTTAACTTTACAGCAAATAAGTTATTGTATTTTAAAAGTGTTTTTTTGTTCACAAATTGATTGTTAAAAATTACATGCTCAAAACATCATTTGTATATGCGAAATTATATCTTAAAAATATCTTAAAAATTAATAATTAGAACTATAAAAGATGGCATTCAGTAGTTTTATTACCTTTAGTGGGTATGTGGATTACTATTTTTCACTCTATTTTACATTAATAACAGTTACAGTGCTTTCTGTATATTCAAACTTAAATATTTGCACTATTTTCAAAATATTTTCCCGGTTTTATTAAAGTTTTTAAACTGTTAAACTGTTAATTAAAGTTTTATTAAACTGTCACTGATATTTATTTAAAATAAAATGTCACTTTTTCGTTGTCTCAACTTTATCTTTTGCTTCAAATTTCAAACTTCAAATTTATCTTACGCATACTTGCATTTAAAATGTCCCTTAATTTCTAAGGGACATTATTCGTTCTAACCTTAAAACTGAAATTTATATGGAAAAAACAAATTAATTTCGCTGAAACGAAGATGAAATTAAGATTTTTGCGAAATTAAGGTGTGTCCGAACATAGTATTAAATTAAGGTATTTTATACATCTATTTACTATTTGTCACTTCGTTTAGTAAGCTAATAATTAGTAAAAATTATAGCAGTTATTGCAGTATTTTTTATATATTAAAATAACTGATTAATTAACGTCGTTTGGTTTTGGCTTAGTAGTTAAGCATAGTATTACACACAAAAAATTGTCATGAAAGTACATATTAAAAAAAATTTTGCAATGGTACAAAATTATATAGAGTTTTATGTAAATTTTTCATGAGAAAAAGATGTTTGTATTATATTAAAATATCTTTTTAATATTTAAAAATTTAATTTAATTATTTTTATTTATTTATTACATTATATATATCTATTTTTAATTAATATTTTATTTGGAAAAATATTTTTTTTTCTAAAATCAATGTCAAATTAAAGAAATTTCGTCTAGATTTCATAAAAAATGCTAAAACTATGGGATTGATGGGGGGATGGGATTGAAC